GCAACATCCAGCTCTTGGGCTTAGGTAATTCTCTTGCCTCAGCCTCCTGAGTAGCTGGGACTATAGGTGGCTGCCACACCTGGCTATTTTTTTGTTGCAGTTTGGCTGGGCCTGGGTTTATCCTGCCACCCTCGTGTATGGGGCCAACACCATACTCTCCCACATCCTTTATCTTACACTAGGGCACTGAAATAATAAGGAGCCTGATCTATAAGTGAACAGAAGCTCTGAGGCAAAAATGGCAGGTGTGAGAAACAGATTCAAAGGGGCCAGGTGGTAAACACGCGGAGTAGCTGTGTAATGGCAGCAGGTTGGAGTAAAGATCCATGAATTTCTGCAAAATAGATCTTTTTTTTTCAAAATTTTAAGTTTTTTAAATTAAGTCATGTATACATAGATCATGAATTCATTTATGCCTTTGTGGGATTCAATGTGTTGATTATTTGTACAAATTGGAGTGCTTACATCCTACTAATTAACATACCTTTCAGCTCATTTACTTAATCACAGTGTTAAGACATTTGTGTTCAATACTTGATAGGTTTAACCTGTACCCTTCCAATATGCTCCATAGGTGTGGTCCCACCATTAACCCTCCCTTTATCAAACCACCCCCCTCCCTTCCTCTGCTTGCTTTACTTACTGTGTTCTTGGCAGTGCAGAAGCCTTTTAGTTTGATCACATACCAGTAATGTATTTTTGATGTTGCTTCAATTGCCTGAGGGGTCCTCCTCATATTCTCCCAGGCCAATTTTTTCATGTGTTTCTCCTGAACTCTCTCCAAGAATTTTTATAGTTTCATGTCTTAAGTTCAAGCCCTTTAACCAGTGAGAGTCAATTTTTGTTTGAGGAGAAAGGTGTGGGTCCAATTTCAGTCTTCTACAAGTCTCCAGCCAATTCACCCAGCACCATTTGTTAAATAGGGAATCTTCCCCCCAGTTTATATTTTTGATAGGCTTATCAAAGACCAAATGATGATAAGTGTCTGGGTTCATCTCTTAGTTTTCAATTCTGTTACATACATCTACCTGTCCATTTTTGTGCCAGTACCATGCTGTTTTGATCACTATGGATTTATAATATACTCTGAAGTCTGATAGTGTGATACCTCCTGATTTGTTTTTATTTCTGAGTACTGTCTTGGCTATTCGAGGTTTTTTCTGTTTCCATATAAAATAAAGTACTAATTTTTCCAGATCTTTAAAGTATGACAGAGGTACTTTAATAGGGATTGCATTAAATCTATAGATTGCTTTGGGAAGTATAGACATTTTAATAATGTTGATTCTTCCCAGCCACAAGCATAGTATATTTTTCCATTTGTTAACATCTTCAGCTATTTCTTTTCTTTTTTTTTAAGAGACAGAGTCTCATTTTGTTGCCCTCCATAAAGTGCTGTGGTGTCACAGCTCATGGCAACCTCTAGCTCTTGGGCTTAGGCTATTCTCTTGCCTCAGCCTCCCGAGTAGCTGGGACCACAGGCAACCCTCACAATGCCCAGCTATTTTTTGTTGCAGTTTGGCTGGGGCCAGGTTTGAACTCACCACTCTAGGTATATGAGGTTGGCCCTGCTCACTGAGCCACAGGCGCTGCCCAGCTATTTCTTTTTTCAGAGTTATAGAGATCTTTCACGTCCTTTGTTAGATACACTCCCAGATATTTCATTTTCTTTGGCACTATTGCAAAGGGAATAGAGTCCTTGATTGTTTTTTCAACTTGATTATTGTTGGTATATATAAAGACTACAGATTTGTGAGTATTGATTTTGTATCCTGAGACACTGCTGTATTCCTTGATCACTTCTAGGAGTTTTGTAGTTGAGTCCCTGGGATTTTCCAGATATACAATCATATCATCTGTGAAGAGTGACAGTTTGATCTTCTCTGATATCATTTGGATACCTTTGATTGCCTTCTTATGCCTGATTGTGATGGCTAAGACTTCCATTACAATGTTAAAAAGCAGTGTAGACAATGGGCAACCTCACCTGGTTCCTGATCTGAGTGGAAATGATTTCAATTTTACTCCGTTCAACACGATATTGGCTGTGGGTTTGTTGTAGATGGCCTCTAAGAAATGTTTAAGAAATGTCCCTTCTATACCTATTTCCTTAAGTGTTCTGATCAAGAAAGGATGTTGGATGTTATCAAAAGCTTTTTCCACATCAGTTGAGAGAATCATGTGGTCTTTGTTTTTTATTTTGTTTATGTGATGTATTATATTTATAGATTTGCATATATTGAACCATCTTGGGACACTGGAATGAAACCTATATGGTCATGATGTATAATTTGTTTGATGTATTGCTGGATTCTGTTTGCTAGGATCTTATTGAATATTTTTGCATCAATATTCATTAGAGATATT